AGCTGAAGTACAGCTACAGCCAAGCCGACAACTTTTTGTCAAGAGAAACATAACGCAAAGGCTCTCATTTGCAAAATGCTTAAATATTATGGCTGATATTTTCAACTTCGACACAAAACACGTGACTTGAGGATGCCGGAGATTTCCCCCTCACTGGACCATTCCACTCACCTGGCATGTGCTGAGATTGCAGAGTATGACATCTCCGGAGGCCGTGGCCACACACACAGACGCCTGATCCAGCAAGTCCTGAATGCCAACAATGCAGCCACTTCCGTCCTCTGGAAGAAAGCCTTCTGCCACTAAAGAAATCTCATTTTTCACCTTTCACCAAAACAAACACATAAGCAAATCAGGCCAATCAACTTTCAAGAGTGATTCATAACATTTCCAAAAATAAATGACTTTTTAATGCTTCTTTTCTAATATAAAAGTTTTCAAGAAAATTTTTTCTACATTAAAATCCAAACTTTCATTTAAGAAATGTTACAATCCTACAATCTTTAACAACCAAAAAAATAGTTCATGGGAGTGCCTGGCTGGCTCAGTCAGTGAAACACGTAACTCTTGAATCTTGGGGTTGTAAGTTCAAACCCCATGCTGGATGTAGAGACTGCTTACAAATTTAAAAAAAAAAAAAAAAAAGTTAATGGGACCTTTTTGCCAAGCAAATACTAAACAAAAGCAAGAAGGCTGGTCTCTTAAAAAATGCCCAATAAAACACGAACCTAATAATTATGGTTTTCTAAGATTTCTATAGTATAGGGGAAAAGAACTAAGAATGTAATCACCTAAAATATGGAAGTAGCAAAATATAATTAAGGAAAGTTATCAGAATCAACTCAAAGAGCTTTTAAACTTGCAATTTTCATTTGCATTCCCAGTTGAGACCCACTGTTATAAATAGTGTTTACATGATGGGTAGGGTAACAAGAAGGGCACCCACATAAATATAATGTCAGAGTTTTGCCAACTTACATTTGAAACAGAAGTAGAGTTAAAGGTAGGTTACTATGCAAGTAACATCTCATATGATATCAATATAAAGCAAAGGAAATGTTCATTTAGGAGGATACAAGTTCAGTAAGATTTAAAGTAAAGACTATGGGGGAAGTAAGTTTGGAAAAAGAAAGGTCAAGTCATGCAAGCGCGAGGCATTCTCCATCAGTCACTTACTTCTCTAGTGACAGGGTCTACTTCTATCAGTCCATGGTCTGAGCCAATGAGCACCGTCCTCTGTTCAGTTTGGAGACAAAAGCATTGAGGCTTCCCCGCAGCCTGAATATCCCTGAACTCCAGGGTCCGAAGTAACTTTAAATTTCTCATGATGAAGCAATTCCTGAAAGTACAAATATCTCTTGATGAAGAATTACTCTGACAGAAAGGAATAGCCTCCCTAATAGTGACAAATGACAGTCAAATTAAGCATAATGATTCAGGGGCAGGGATGTGGTAGTTAGAATAACCAAGAAAAAAATAAAATGACCCAATCTGAACCCACATAAGGTTGTGGTCACAACCTCACCAATTCACTGGTTTATCTATGGTCTACAAATGGAGGTTCTGAAAACTACTTTATGTTTTCAATCTTTGGAAGAGACAAGATCCTCAACTTTAAAATTTTTTCTTCAAAATGATTTAACATCAGTTATTCTCAGGAAAGTTGAAAAGATCAAAATAAATAGGAAAACATTTTATTTTTGCATATTCAAATATCTTTATAACCTGACTGATTTAGAAAATCAGCGGTTCCTGGGTGGCTCAGTTAGTTGAGTGTCCAAATGGCTCTTGACTTCGGCTGAGGCCAGGATCTCATGGTTTGTTAAGACTGAGCCCCACTCAGGACATGATCTCACGTTTCATAGGATCAAGCCCCACGTCAGGCTCTGTCTCAAAATAAATAAACATTTTAAAAATAATAAAATAAAATCATATAAAACTCCATATACATACCCTGTCAGTTGAAGAAAATCAAGAAGAAAATGGCTTTAACATTACCAGGTAAATTTATTTGTAAACTGGCTTTACATGTTCACTTAAAAAATAAATACTGGGGCGCGGGGGTGGCTTGTCGGTTAAGCATCCAACTTTAGCCTAGGTCATGATCTCCTGGTTCATGGGTTCAAGCCCCACATCAGGCTCTGTGATGACAGGTCAGAGCCTGCAGCCTGCTCCCAATTCTGTGTCTCTCTCTCTCTGCCCCTCCTCCACTCACACTGTCTCTCTCTCTCTCCAAAATAAACAAACATTAAAAAAATAAATAAAAATAAATACTGAAATTAAAGACAGAAATAAAAGATGTACTGTTCTCAGGGAGGAAAAAAAACACACCATGCTATTACGGCAGTCACAGTGATGACCAATAAATACTGAGGAGTCTGGTGACTTGATCGTAGTTTAGATAATTTGGCTTTCCTGGCCTGGTTTTTACCAGTAAAATAGAAAAGGTGGAAAAAGAATGATAAATAGGGAGCCTACTTTGGTCTGGCAAAATCGGACCTGCTTAAGTGCATAACATTAGCTAAGAGGAAAAACAAATGAATGCTAATATACTGGATATTTATATCCAGATACATTTAAAGTTTATACAGTTTATAACTAGAAATCCCTAACTTATGTTAGGGGTGGCAATATACAGACCACAATGGCCTTATTATCACCTTAATCCAAGGTGAATTCTCTCATCTATGCAAGAATAAAGATGAGTTAATCTTCACACTACCACAGCACATAATGGTAAGTGCAATATGAAAATACAACATGTAATGTGAGTGAAGAGGAAGGCAAGACCATACATTACATGGTGGGAGCGAGGAAGAAAATCAAGGCCAATAATGGTTTTGTAAGTTTTGGTGACATTTAGGTTCAAGAACTTCTAGAAATTATTTGAACCTCTATTACATCATGCAGGTTTTTTATTTAGATCTAATTCTATATAGAAAGCTTGGGTTTACAAGAAATATAAAAATCACATACGTTTCCTCTTCAAACATCATCTGGATGACCACTGACACGGGACAGATCTGAAAGGATGGCTAGATTGGAGATGAGAGAATGCTTGGCTACAGAGGAATAAGCAAGTGGTAGAGAAGAAGACAGAACAGATGGGCAAAACAGGTCCAACATATAGTCTCCTGTCTGTCTTTCATGCTAGTTTATCTAACAAAAATTGTGCTGTCACTGTCGCTATCATCGGATCATCAAAATGTTTTCCTCTCTGCGAACTTGGATTCTATTAAGCCACAAGTCCCAGTCCCTGCACTCCCAGCACCAACCTCATCAGCACACCCCAAAAGATATGAGCACTACCCGGGCAGTCTCTCTCCAGACACTGAAATGCAGAGTGCAGGACTCCTCTGACTCCCAGAGTCATCAATGCCAGCAGTCAGAGTCCCAGCTTTATGGTGCCTCTCCGCCAAGATTAGGTCACCGTAACTCCACTTTCCCTTGTTTTGAACCGAAGTCCCAAGCTAAGTGTTAATAGCTACTTTCATCAGTTTACGTTTCGTTACTTCACTGCTCCGTTTTGCTTCTTATTCCTCCAACAGCTACTTAACCAATTCTTCATGTTAAATTCAGGTGAAACACTGTGTGTTTTCTACTTTCCTGATTGGACCCTGCGTGACAAACACAGCAAACAACCGGAGTTCTCAAGGCACAGAACTTCCGAAATCACTGGCAAAGGTGATTTCTAGCCCGGACTGTCCCCAAAGTGAACAATGAACCCACGTTTTCAACCTCTTGATATTATCACCAGGATGTCTCAACAAGCACATCAAATACAACGTGGAAAATGAAATACTTCTATTATCCTATACAAATGAGTTTCTCCTATTTGGGGACATGACGTTTCTATTCTCTCCGTCCCCCAAGATGAAAACGGTCTTCCCCTTGTTTTTGCTCATATTTCATATTAAACTATTCACTGGTTAGTTCTGTCGTGCAATACAGTTCCAATCCCCTGCACAGTATCTAATTAATCCCATGACTCGGTTTGTGGCCTACATCAAACACTTACTAAGCACTTGGTAAATGCTAGGATCTGAAGACGAGAGGATTCTGTCACTGCCCATACGGAAGTCACAGTTTAAAGGGAGAGAGGGTCACACAATATACCACAGGAGATCGAGAAGCACAGGGGGGCACCTCCACGAAAACGTCAGACGCGAGAAGCAGCGCGCAACACAAATCCACTTTAGTTAACAGCAGTCACACGTTAACTGATCCGCTTTATTTGGTGTATTAATTGGTTCAGCTGTACTGTCCACTCCTGCAAGGAATCCGGAGGCTGGTAAATGTGCCACCCAGGGAGCAACACGTCTTCCCGGCATGCTGCGTGCCGCAGAGACCCCGGACCGCGCAGGTGGCAAGTCTGCGGGAAGAGAACTTAAGGGCAAAGGTGATCACGCCACACTCCACTCCCCGGTTTCCTGCAGCAGGGAGAGTTTGCACGCTCGGGGGTCCTCTTCCTCAGGACATCCCCTGAGGACGCGCCTGGTTCCGTGCTCCCTTCCGTCCCCCACCCCGAGTGAGTCCTCCGAACGCTCACCTGCACCCCGCTGCGAGGACCCGCAAGCAGCGGTGCTCTGCCCTCGCCTCCTCAGTCACGCGCAGCCAGCCTTCCGGAGCACGCCCGGGGCTGCGCACACGCCTCTCTCTGTCCGCGGCTCTCCAGCCTTCCGGACGCGAACTGGGCCTCCGGGCCGCGGGACGCCCGGGAGTAGTGATGGAAAGGGGTCGGAGGGACAACCGGTGAAACGGCAATGTGCGTGTGAAGCAGATGGGACACACCACCGGCGGCGCGTGAGTGACGTCACGAGGCGGAGAAGTTGTGGCCGGCCTTCTCCGTAGCCCAGACAAGGTGGAGGTAGGGAGCTGCGCCGCCCCTCCACCTCTGTCCCTCTGCCCTGCCGCCCACACTACTGTATTCGAGTCCCGCTTTGACGTCGGACTCCAAAGCACCCTACTGAGAAGCGTCAGTGGCTGGGTCTACGGGGCCAGGAGAGCAGCGCGCGTGCGCACGCCGTGGGCCGCGCGCCGGAAGTACGCCCTCCTCCGGGGCCTGCGAAGAGGAAGTGCTGGGGTCCCGGAGAGCGGGGGTTAGTGGCGACTGTGGTCGCCATGGCTACCGAGCCGGAGGCAGCGGAACCTGCAGTGCCTTCGCTCGTGGATCGTTACTTCACTCGGTGGTACAAAGCCGGTAAGAGGGGGATGGTGTCGGTTTGTGTTCGGCCGCATTGGCCTGAGGCTGTAGGGACGGTGGTGACAGATGATAAGCCGCGCGCAATTACCCCGGCGCTTCCTCCCCACGTCTGGAGGAACTGGATCTCTCTGTTCCCTTCTAGGCGGAAGGAATGGCAATTGCAGACTCGGAGTCCTGAAATACAACCGGACGCACTCTGGGGATGGCGACGTAGCGCGAGTTCAAGGGTGGGTCGCTTGCGGGAAGATAGTAGTAGTCTAAGATGAGATCCCCACCAAAGAAGGCAGGGGCTTGAGTGCTTTCGCCGGATTCGACGGGCTCAATCCTATATTAGTGGGCATACACACAATGATTTAAGTGATCAGATCGAAAACTATAGTAGAGGCAGGGATGGAGAGAAGAGGTGGGTTCGAATAGAGGCATAGGAAGCAGAACCTAACAGTTTTCCTAAAAGTTGCCAGTATCATACACGTGCCAGTTGGAAGTAGATACCGTGTTGTACTGCGTTGTGTACCCAGTAAATATCGGTGGTGGGAGCATCCTTGAGGACTCTTCTCTAGGCCCCACTTGCTCCCTTTCATTCAGGGATAATAGGTGTACTCATTTTTAAAAAAATATTGTGGTATTTAATTTAGGCAAATGTACGGTGACTTACTGTCCCAGTTTATCGAAAACTGAGGGGTTTCCCAGAATCTGAGACTTTTAGAGCTAACATCGAGACCTCCCTGGGTAAATCAGAAAGAGTTGGTCACCCTAAAATTAACCAACAAAATGTATGCTGTCGTATTATACAAAGAATGCGTCGCTAATGGCACTTTTTCTAATAGAAATAATGAGTATACTCATTTTAAATATATTTTTTTAATGTTCATTTTTGAGAGAGAAAGGGAATGAGTAGGGGGAAGCAGAGAGTGAAGGAGACACAGAATCGGAAGCAGGCTCTAGGCTGTGAGCCGTCAGAACAGAGTCCAACAGGGGGCTGGAACCCACAAACCCTGAGATCATGAGCTGAGCCAAAGTCAGATGCTCAACCCACTGAGCCACTCAGGCACCCCTAAGTGTACTCATTTTAAAGTGAGGATGGAGCAAAGAGTTAATAATCACTTTAATATTGAATGAATGATCCCATCTGGGCCAGGTCCCTTTAAATAATTTACAGGAAGCCTTTATGTATATCTTTTTGAGTAATGAAGAGATACCAAACTCTGAGTTCAATCTTCAGAATTATCTGTATGAACCAAAGAAAGTACGCACAGTGGCAGTAAATGCTGACCCAACAACCAACAGATTCATTCATTCTTCTAGATGTCAAAGGCAAACCTTGTGAGGACCACTGTATACTACAGCACTCCAACCGGTAAGCAAATTAGGAATTTTAAATTATAAAAAGTTTCTGGTATTGCAGCCTGGTATGGTCTTGGATTGAACAAATGGTCATTAAATGATTATCTAACACTGTGTTGAAATGGCATTTATTTGAAGAATTGGGCTGACAAGATTGAGCCTTTCAGTGTCTACTCCAAACAGACTTGATTACCCAAACATCCCAATGGAGGACCTTAAGGAGAGGGCGTGCCTGCCTTCTCATCTACCTCAGTGCTACCTAATGACTCTAAGCTAAGAGTAGCTCTAAGTCACTGAGCTACCTCAGTGACTTCTAATGCTCTTCCTTTTCCTGGGCAGGAAATTCAGTCTCACTCCTCCTCTTTTATTATTGCATTCCTGTCTATAGTTAAGCTCCAGCAGTAGCCAGAGGAAAATGGGGGGAAACGATACTTTGAGTAGCAGTGTAGTATGAGGAAGAAGTCTTCCAAGCAATAACATAGCACCACATTTTTGCTCCTTACAGAATATGTGTCATCACATTGGCAGAATCTCATCCAGTTCTTCAAAGTGGAAAAACAATCAAAAGCATTTCCTATCAAATCAGCACCAACTGTAGTAGACTTCAGAACAAGGTCTCTGGCAAATGTAAGCGGGTATGTTCCTGTAATTCTCTACTTAAATCTTCAGTGTCATAGTAGTGATAGATCCAGTCAGTCTTGGAATCCAGTGATCTGTGCTCAGCGTACTTCCCTGACAGTTTGATGTGCTGATTTTAAGAATACTTTAATCTTAAAGAAATTCTTAGACCAAAAAATGGGTATTTCAGGAGGAAAAGGATTTGTCGTACTTTTGGTTCTGTGCCACTGTTCCCGTCATTCCCGGGGTGGAGGATGGAGAAGGCAGACCTCTGAAAGGACAACCTTAATACCAATAAACAAGGTTTTATGTCTCTTCTAGTTTTATTAAGCCAGCATCTTGAGTTCTATAAAACTTAGGTGACCAACTCTTCTTTACCATGTATTTTCAAATGTAAATTAAAAAAATATATATATATCCTGAAGTAGTAAAAAAAATTAATGTGAGAACAAAATAACTATTTGCTCCTCACCAGTTTCCATTCTTTCATCTTTGCCGATTTAATACATATCTAGTCACCTGTAGCACCACACAGTGCTCAGTTGTACATAGTGTTCTCTCTGCCCTCCACAACTCTAGGCAGGATGGACACATTTTATTAAAAGAGAGCATCACACCAAGGACAATTCAGGGACATACAGAAGTATCCTGAAATAACTACAGGATAGGAAAGTTTCAGTGGATGATTTAGCTCCTTCATTTTCTGACTTGATGCTAAGAGTTTCTGCTAATTACCCTCACTGTTCTAGGAGACCCTTTATACTCCCCTTTGTAGGCCTGAAATCCCCTAATAATGTACCTTACAAGTATTGATTTTTCCTTGCTCAGGAAGCACATGGACTTAGAAAAGCATGAACCTTTCTTAAAAAATAAAGTCTACAAATTACAAGTATAATAGCTAGTGCTTGTAAGGTTGCTATGATAAATCTTTGTCCAAAATAGTAGCAATGTTTTTACTTTCAATGAACAGAGAAGGTCCTATATGTGGAACCCACTACAGATAAGATGTGATTGAATCTTAGCACTGCCAATCATTCTCCCAAGGGAGGTGATAAAAAGGGGCCAAACATTTCTGCCCTTTTAATACAGACCCAGTGATGGATACACCCTCAGGGACAAATCCCCAGCCCCTCCTCCCAAAATTGAGGAGTCATACTGACTAGTATTTTGAAATGAAGTACCCACATACAGTGGACTAAAGCCAATGGGGTAGCATCTGCATGCTATCCAATGTTTTGAGTGGTAGAGAGGTCACAGAGAATAGCATCTTGACCTCAAATACCCATGTTCACTTTAGGAAAAATTTCTGGGAAAAAAAGTGAGCAACACATGAGACAAGCATGCATGGGTTTCCCGTGAGTTTCCTTGTAGACATTGGTCAGAACCTCCTGCAAACACATCCATATAGTAGAGTATGTGAAACGATACGCATGCCTAGCATTCAAACAGATGAATGTCAAAATGTAGTATTCGGGGTTATAGGGTATACTATTCTAATGGGTAAACTATTCTTATTTGCTATTTAAAACTTTCTATTTTTCTAAATTTTCCTTAAGCTCTTTTTAATTAGAAAAATATCACCACTTCAAAAAGTTAATAATGAACCCTAATAAAGAAGTTTATTTAGTAAGTTCTAATATAAAAAAAAGTTAGGATCTCAATGAAAATAACTGTATAATATTGCTGTCATATTGTCATGTTGAATTTTACATTATTGCTTATTGGTGGATTTTCTTACACTTTTGGAATCTTTATATGTAACCATAATGTACCTTTCTCATTTAAAGATGATAAGATATATTCTTAATCTTTAAACTACCTGTTACTTCATGTGTCTTAGTCTGCTCTTTCCCCTAGAGCCTGTGATTCTAGCACCCCGTAATAGGCACTTACATAAATGTTTGCATAAAAAAATAGTTTTTCTGTACTAAAGTCATTTTTACTTAAAACACTAGCCCCAGGAATCTATTCTATCATAGCACTGAGGGCTGCCTCTCAAGGGAAAGTGAACACATACACCATTTAATGACTTCTTCCCTTTTATTACCAGGGGGCACAGTTTCTAACAGAGCTTGCACCTCTGTGTAAGATTTACTGCTCAGATGGAGAAGAATACACCATATCTAGGTGAGTTACTTTTTAACCACGACTTAGGAGAAACAAAGAGGTAATATTTTTCTTTAAAACAATTTTTTTTTTAAATAGCTGTGTTAGAGGACGGTTGATGGAAGTGAATGAAAACATTCTCCATGAGCCATCTATTCTTCAAGAGAAGGTAAAGCAGGGAGGAAAAAGTATGATCCCGTCCACACGCATTTTATCTGATTGTACACATCTGACAGTAGTAAATATTCTATTGCCTTTCTAGCCATCCACTGAAGGCTACATTGCAGTTGTGTTGCCCAAATTTGAAGAAAGCAGAAGCATAACAGATGGGTTACTGACACAAAAACAGTATGAAGAAGTCGTGGTGAAGCGCATTCATGCCACGACAGCTGCGTCCTGAGGACCGCGAAGTAGGGACACAGCACGGCGTGCGCACGCCTCCCTGGCCCGAGCCAGCAGCTCACGGAACCAGCACATGTGAAGATGCTTCACACCCGGTCATCCACACATGCCTGATCTCAAAATTAACCCACGTTTCTGCCTTTGTCTTGCGTAACAAGCCTCTGTTCCTGCTTTGTCCTCTGTCCTGCCCGTGTACTCACTCTGTTCTCCTTTTGCTTTTATGTAACAACTGTCAAGCAAGGGATGTTTTTTTTGTTTTTGTTTTTTGATTAAAAACAAACAAAAGCACTTTGAGGAAAATTTGGACAAGACAGCTGCTTGAAGTAGTAGAGTAAAAATAATTGGCCCATCATCCGATAACCCATTGGTAAATACTACTGCATTTTGACATGGTTTTGTTTGAATGTTATGGCATGGTTATTGTTTTTGCCTGGATTTTCCCTCAGTTTGAAGTTAAAAAAAATTGGGCCTTTTTTACTGAATCTGTTTCTGAGTGACACTACCAAAAATGCTAGTGCCACCCCTTCAGCCCCAGCTCCCTTTAGGTCATCGGGGAGAAGCAGAGTGTAGACTATACGCCCTCTGCCCCTTCCACCACTGGGGTGGCCTGCAACGAAGCTGTGTGTAACACCGAGGCTTCCTAAATGAGGGAATGAGGAAAAGGCTTGGGAAGGGCCTTCCTCCCACGGAAGTGATGTGATGCAGTGTTGTAGTCGCTCAGCCTCACACTCGAGCGACAGGGTAGCCACCCTAGGAGTTGCTGTAATCCAAAGACACACATGCCTTGGATGGAACAAAAACTTTCACATCATCTTAACTAAAAACAAAACTGATTAATTTGTGTACTTATTTACAGTGAATTTCAAATAAAAGGACTTTATAAATTGTTATTTTTTCTTCAGTGCTGCAATATGTGTATATTTAAATATCTCTGTAAATAAAACAGAAGATTTAAAACAAGAAATCACCTTACTTGTAAATTCCTTTGGTTTTCTATCCTCTTACGCTGTTGAAGTCATAAGTCATCCCTTCCTCACCCCTACCTGAACTTAGCAGAATATTCTCATTTCAGGTATGTTAAAGTATTCTGTAAATCTATACGTTATTTTTGATTCACAAGAAAAACTTCTTGAGTGCCAACATGACTATCCCCTAAATATATGCACCAGACATAATATAGGTAGTAACTTTACAAACACCTACATTGATGGTGCTATGAGCCGAAAATGTAAGCACAAACCAGCAGATCCCCATTTTGAGTAGCTGGAGACACTATAAAACAAAGATACTAAAGACAGTAAATAGACAATAATATATATGTGTGTGTGTGTGTGTATATATGTTACTGTCTATTTGTATGTATGTGTATATATATATATATATATATATATATATATATTTTACATATAACATTACCTCACACTGCTTTCCCATTACTTCTATTGTAATTTTAAAGAATATTTTTGTTTCAGGGACTAAAATGCATGCTTGATAATTTTTTTTTTTTTTGCATGCTTGATAATTTTTATAAAAAGTATTTTATCTAGGTCATTGACCAAGCTGAATGTATCCTATTTTCTCCTAAAGGCTGATGGTAAGTTCAAGTTTCCTTCAATAAAATAGTAGCTAATTGATGGTACTGTGGTTCTTCAGGATCTTGTGAATATTGATTGTGATGGATGACCCAGATAACAATATCAGACAAGCTTATATAACTACCATTTGGCAACTGACATGTCCTATCAGATTTTGAAATAAATTTCAAAGCATTGGCATTTTATTAGCACTATTCAAAATTTTGAGCCAAAACAAAGTTACCTCTACTAGAAGGACAGAACATATAAATTAGATCCTTCAATGAAAGCCCACCCCAAACAAAAACAAGAAAAGCTTTAAACCCTAAATTAAAAAGACATAAGATGTTTATTTTATAATGAACATTCCAAAGGCACATATACAAAATGAACGATTATTCAGAATTTATTTTAAAACATCTCGGTTCTTCCATTGTCAGTACAGAAAAGGATAGTTCAAAGACTATTTTCTTATACCAGTGAGATAGGCTTAGGATGCCAGCTAATATTGAAGGTAGACAGGCCAGCTACGGTGGAAGGAGAAGTGAAAGCCGTCTCCTAGTGAGTTCCTATAGGATTCTGTGGAGTGAGCTCCATGACCCTAGTTTGGGAATGGGGGAGGGACACATGCAGCACAAGAAACGGTCTGTGCTAATGAAATGCGTGTTAGAGAACAAACGTGCTCGTAGCATGAATAATCTATGACAGAACAGCAAAGAGGCCAGTCACAATTGGTGCACAGAACAACTGAAGAAGAGTCCACAGATTTAAGGAAACCCCTGCGTTTACCCAGTCAACTATATATTTTCTGTTGAAAATTAGTGTTCTAGATGGTAAGCATAAATAAAAAAAGAAAAGAAGAAATCAGGTATTTTATGCCAAAGCTGAGCACATATTCAAAATAGATTCTTTGGATTAAACTGTCATTAAGACTGTATATTTGGTTTGACTTCCAAGAATGTTGTTAGTGGCAATGTGCCATTTTAAATTCACGCTGCAATTAGGAATCTAGGAACTACCATGGCATTTATTAGTTGTCCAAAAGCTTCACAATCACTTTCATGATCAGAAAATAAAGTGAGATTTCATTACTGTCTTTTTTATAAAATTGTTGAATTTCTGAAAATATAAAGGATCATTTGCTTTCTAAAAATATCAGCTTTACCACATGCAGTTCCAAAGATCTGACCCCAAAAGCTTCTCAAGTTTTACCATCCACAGAGTCTTTATTTGTAACTGACGCCCATCTGTTGTTTTCCATCTGAAGCTGGAAAGAAGACAATTAGTTTCTCATTTGCTTTTAAAATAAAAATTGCAAAATTAAATAGTAACTATTTCTTTTGCATTTTCCTTGAAACTAGCTTTAAAATGTGATTTTCAGATTTACCTTCTTCAGCAATTTATAGCAAAGTGAGAGAAGTTGGACCAAAATAGCCATCATGGATCTTGTCTTTGTAATACACTTATCAACCTATAATGACAGAAGCAGGCAAATCAGCTTCTACAAGGAGTACTTCAAATGGCTGTGTCACTGATTTAGTTTTAAACTGATAACATTTTGTCGCTATGGGAATCTAAAGGATCTCAAAAGGAATATGGATTAGGGAACGTGAGCTGACTGGAGGCCCCAGAACACAAGTGCAGGGTTGTCATCAGGACTCATGCCTATTTCATGGAGCCCCAAGGAAGAATGGACGGAAAATCAATCAGTTCTATTTCGAGCTGTTTAGGCACTTTTTAACACACTCCAAATAGTGGCAGTGAACCCCCTACTTTGTAACTTCTGGCACTCTGCTTTGTTGGCCTAAGCTTAAATTCCCTAAGACAAACAGCAGGAGACCCTACTGTGAGGAATCTGTTCCCTGGTTAGACATGTGATGACATGAGGATTTAAGGGTAAGCTGCTCAGTGTTGTGGAATTAAATATGTCCAAAAAGCCAATTTAGTGAACCTACTGCTCCCCAGAGTCTGTTATAACTACAGATGATAAAAGATTCTTGGAATCAAAGCCTGAAAAATGGAAGTAAACTGCCCTTCTGTAGGTAATCACACTCTCTCTGAAGAAAAAGGGGCTAGAAGCAAACCTGGTTAAGTGTGAAAGTTTCTCAAGTGTCTCCCTGAATAACCCACTCTTCCTTTTACCTTTAGAAACACTTGATTTTGCAAAGGTGTCTTAGTTATTGTCTGGAGCTGGTGGCATAAAGGAATTAGCTTGTTTATTTCCAGGAGAAGCATAAGCTTGTCATCATCTTTCAGCTGAAAAATAATTCAGGAAGTTATAATAACAAGAATCATCACCTTTTAAACCTTAAATACCCTTATACCTTAATAATATACTCCCCCAAAGTGGGTATTCACGACATTACCATTAGCACCAAGCAGGCAGACCTGTTGCATTACCTGTTTTGAGAAAACTTGTACACTTGAAGCAAGCTTTAAGCCTTCTTCAGCAAAAACCTAGTGGAAAGGAAAAGTATCACTACTTAGATGTATATCTTATGGATAGTTCATAAGAAATATACTCATGGCTAATTGTCATATATGTCATAGAACTCCTAAAGTTTTTCTTCTACGCAAGAAACACAAGTGTTCAACTGTATTCAGAAGGAGATTTTCCAGATCTGATGCTGAATCAATCCCTGGAAACCTCCAGATGCTCTGGAGGGTCATTAAGACCCATGATACTTAACGATACAAATTATATCCAGGCTCCCAGAAGGATCTGGAGCTCATCTCATAATACCCCAACTATAAAAGGGTGATGAATTGTAGATCAAAAGGGTTAGGAGTTCCCTACTTCCAGCTAAGCAAGATAAAATTTGTCACCTGTACACATTCCTTAACCAGCCATTTGAGAGAACCAGTTCAGATCAGTTCTTGCATATTCACCATGCATTTTATAATTTAGTGAGAACAGGATGATGGCAAAGAACAGTGAAAAATCAGGCTGGACAGACAAGATGAGGAATATTTTAGAATGATTATTTTTAAACAGTAACATCATGTTTCAGAATAAGAGACACCAGGGGACAAAAAGGTGGGAGACTTAGCATTAGGTGGCAGCAGTAAGAAAGATGAGAACAGAGCAAATGTGAGGGTGGTTTGTGAAGAAAAGTAACAAGCCTTGGTAATGAATTAAATAAAGAACATGAAGGAGGAGGCAATACCTTCGGGGTTAACCTTAACCCTCTATCCAGCATCCTGAGAACCTTGCTATTGTTGGACAAACTGATCTCAAGGGCAAAAATCCTTTACTCCCTTCCTTATCTTTTAAAAGGGAAACCAGTGAGTTTTATACCTAGATTCTAACCAAACAGAACAACTCACTTACCCATACCGTTCCTCCTTATCCCACATTACCACTTTCTGTTTACATCTCTTCCCTTCTGGCCCACAAACCTCTCAGGGGCAAGATCCAGGTCTGTCTCTTAGAGTATCATGATTTTACAGCCAACTTAAAGCTGATGACTCTCAAATCCCTCTCTCCATTCTTGAATGATCCTGACACCAGTCTTTTATATACTACTTGAACAAAACAAAATGCTTGATTTCCAACCTCTAAGTCTGGTTTTCTCCCTCAGTGTTCCCTAGCTAAGTAAATGACACTATCATTTGCCCTGTTAGTCAAACCAAAAACCTTTTAAAACCAAAGTCAGATCCTGCCACTCAGGATCAAAACCCTCAATGGGTTTTCCATCATACTTGGGGGAAAAAAGTCAAGGTTCTTCCAGTGGCTACAGAGATGTCATACCTTACCACTTTCCTTCTGGCTCACTCCATTGCGTCCACATTTGCCTCCATATTATTCTTCAGACCCCTACAGCCTACCCCAACATCTCAGGGCCTTTGCACTTGCTCTGTTTGCCTGAAATATTCTACCCCTAGATAACTATCCCGCTCACTTTCTCGCTTTATTAATTACTCAAATGTTACCCCCTTAGAGGTCTTTTCTTGCCACCTTCCTATCACTTCTCTCTTTTTATCTTTCATTATTCTATCTCTGAATGCCTATATATGGACACTGTGTACTTAACTCTCTACCGTCTACCTCCTCCCACAAGAATGTAAGCTGCGGGGCAGCAGTGGTTTTGTTTTCTCTTTTCTCCAAAGAGTGCTTACCCCCAGGAACTGACGCACAGTACTAGCTCAATAAATACTTGATCAACATTTCATGTCCACCACAGTTAGTAGACATTCAGTAGACATTGGTTTAATGAATAAGCTCACACAGGGAGAAGGTGACAAGTGGATCTTTTGCAGTGAAATGTTCTCTGTGGTATTGTAGGACTTCAAATGGATATGACCCAAACTGAACA